ACATCTTGTGTTGTGCAACCAGTACAGAACATTTTTAGTTTCTTAATAGTGTACTGAAGATAACAAATATATTTCATTTGTCCCTGATGCTCAGGTTTTCTTTCTGTCTTTTTTTAAATTTAGTTGACAAATCACGACCACCCTCATCAAGCCCTTCTAGTATCATTCGTCGTACGTCATCACTGGATACGCTTGCAGCACCCTACCTAGCTGGGCAGTGGCCTCGTGATAATCATGGACAAACTGTTCCATGTATGAGGGACAAAGCCACACAGGTAAGAGCTTCTTAAATATTGCATATTTATTTTCCAAACTTACTTGATCATAATTTCTCTTTATTTGCTAAGCCCTCCCCCACCCCCCGGTTCTATTTTCACCCTTCCTTTCTTGGGGAAAGGGGCAGGAAGAGAACCTCTGTTTTTCTGTCTATCCTTCAGCAGATAAATATTGATTATATTTTGTACCAATTTTTTTTATGCCTTGGGCATCATAGACAAGGTTCTGAGGCTGGAATAAATATTGCATGACATTTTATTGTGTAACTTCTGAATTTATAGCAGGAGTTGTTACTGACACCTATACTTAGGTTACCACGAAACTTTCTGTTATGAAGGATTCTTGCTAGGGGTGCACTGATAAAGATATTTTTGGCTGATACCGATGGCGAATTATTAACCAGCCATAATTGGCTGGTACTGATCCGATAGCTGGTATGCAGCCTGGCAGCTTGGAGAGCAGCATGCAGCCAGTAAGTGCGGAGGAAAGGAGTGTGTCGGGGTGGGGTGGGGGGCAGGAGGGGTACACGTCAAGGACTCCATGGTGAGGGAGGGAGTGGGGCAAAGGCAGGCGCTGCCCAGTCGGGGCACGGCGTGAGACAGGGCTGCAGGCAGCTCGTCTGGGGGGGACCACCACTGCTGCGCACACACCGAGGGGGAGGCATGGGGGGAAATGTGCCCCCCAGATTTTTGTGCAGGGTGAGGGCAGGGGAGGGGGGTGGCAACGCTGGGAGGGGAGGCTATGGGGTGGGCTACAGCCCCCCAAAATTCACTGTAGCCCCCTGGCCCAGCCTCCCTGGCGGGAAGAGGCTGGTGCAGCCCCTGGCCCTGAGCCCGCAGTGGGCAGCCTACCCTCACCCCACATGCAAATCCAGTGGGCAGGTGCTCCCCATGCCTCCCCTGGGGGTGTGTGCAGCAGTGGGGACTAACCCCCATACCCCTTGCACCTTGAATGAGCTGCCAGTGGCTCTGTCTTGTGCCCTACCCCAGCCCCTGCCCCATTCCCTCCCTCTCTCACCGTGGGAGCCTCTATCTGCTCTCCTACCCCCCACGCCCCTTCCCTTCCACAGACTTACTGGCCAGACATTGCTCTCCAAGCTGCTGTGCTGCATTCCTAGCTGCATGGATGTTGCCTCTGCATGCATATTGGTGACATGATCAGCCACGTTGGCCAAAATAAGCTAATTGCCAATAATGTCAATTTTACTTTTATTGGCACTGATACAATACGGGCTGATATATTGGTGCACCTCTAATTCTTGCAACCTTTATTTTGAGAAGCATTGCTCCCTCTACTGGGTTTTTTTGTTTTTGTTTGTTTGTTTTGGCAACAGTTCTTTGACATTTAGTTAAGCAAACTCTTAGGCTATAAAAGTAAGTTTTAGTTATCCTAGAAATTCATGTTCTGATTTTAACTGAATTGTTGATCATGCAAATTGCTCCTGTACTTCTCTTACTCAGTCAAGTTTAGCAACTTCCCCAAAACAGTAAACTTTCTAAAAGAGCCAAGGGGGTACTCTTCGTATAAAATCAGCACTCTGATGCTAGTGTCTCATCCTCTTTTTTCTGAGAGCCAAACTTGGGCTTGAGCTCCATGCAATGCCCTTGAGCTCCTAGGATGGAGGAGAGAGGGAAGCAAGACTCAAACTGTAAATCCCTGCCCTGAAATATGATACCAGAAACAAGCCCTCTTGCAATTCCAAGGGTATGTGTAGATAATCTAGAAGTGATTGTAGCATGTGTAGGCATACCTGAGTTAATCTAACTCGAGTAACAATGTAGGTGAAGGTGTGGCAGCACTAGCTTCAGTGCACCCAGATTTGACTATGGATAGAATTTGTCTCTCGTTAATAAGATGTAGCAGAAAGTGTGTAATTGTAAAAGACTAATTTCCCAGGTGTGCATTGGGGAACAGGGGGTTGCAAAAGAATAGTACAACCTGCAAACAAAAGAAGAGATGGGGAAGAACCTAAGGTTCACACCAGTTCCCAAAAGAGGAATTGTGACTGGTGCTTCTTAGCAAGAAAAATCAACAAGTTGGTCACCAGAGTTGATTTAGCGAAATTTTGTCACAATTTCACGATTTGCATGGAAACGACGATTTTGGGCAGGTTCTGTGAAAAAGTGTGGGCTCCACACTTTTCGCCAGTTCCCTGAAAAAAAAAAAAAACTTTCCAAAAGTAACATTTTTGTCCTTGTTAAATTAAACATGGTTTAAGAACAAAGATTGGGTTTAAATTAAATGAAAAGGTTAAGACAGTTCAGCCAATAACATTTCAGTATGCAGATATAATAGCCAGCTGTGCTGGATGACTGGAGAGACTGCCCATGATGTCACAGTTTTGCATTCCAGCAAAGAGGTGTTGTAAGGCAGCAGCAAGAGATTTTTGTCCTTGTGGTCACTGTGGTCCAGCCGCACAGCCTGCTGGTGGAGGGGAGCTGCTGGCATGGCAAGATGGCTGCCACTTCTTGCCTATGATTGGGTTCAAGGGATGTCTGTCATATGGACAGTCAGCAGTGATGGGCAGAACCTTTGACAGGCAGCCCTTGCCAGCCAGTCAGTGGTGAGGGGCAGGGCCTGCCATGCTTTGCCCATGACAATGGCTACCAGCCCCATGGTCTACCTGCAAAATCAGCCAGCAGCTGCCTCGAGTTCAGTAGACCCCTAGTCATTTGCCAAGAGCAGGGATGCAAGATGTATACATGAGGCTAAATAAGATTTATCATAGAAGCATGGAAAAATCAGCTGTGTGTATCAAGAGAAATGGCACTGTTTCTTACTGAAACAGATCAAGGAAAACTGACCCAGACTGGAAAGATACTAGATGTGGAGACTGGTGACTTCTCTGGTAGAAGACTTTTAGTCCCTAGAGAGAGAGGATAAAGGCAAGACATGAAGATGAAAATGAATTGATAGCTTAAAGACTGGTGGTCTGAGGAAGATTTCAGAATGTTTGCCATCTGGGAAGCATTCTTGATAAAGGAAATTGACCTGAGTTTTGGACTTAACTAATTTTCTTAGCTAAGGCTGACACAATTAAGAACTTTGAACTTTTAAAAGGGGGTTGGAGGAGAACCACATACTGTCAACATCTCTTTTTGATATGCAGGTGAAGGAAAACAGGGTGAACAGGGCTGAAGTAAAAGTTAAATGAACTACAAGGACAAAGTACTAATCTTAATGAGAAGTTAAGTCAGGCGATACAGGTACTGAGACGTCTCAACCTAATCTGCCTAGGAATTTTGATGAGGACAGAGAAACAGCTGAGAAGTTGGTATGTTAATGCAAGGATCCTGTGCAACAGGAAGATGGATCAACTAGAATTGCTGCTCCACATAATGAAACTGAATAGTATAGGGTAACAGAAACATGGTAGAATAGCATAGTGGATATTGATATTGAAGGGTATGTCTTGCTTTTTAAGAAAAATAGAAAAAGGGGGAGCTGGTGAGCTTTGTATGCTCATAATAGAATAGGTTCTGAACAGTAAAATAATAGATGGAATCTTACCATGTTATGGTCTGATTTTTTTTTTTTATTTTTTTTTCCTGGGGAAGGATAGTTAGAGGTTGCCAGTGATAAGGATCTGGTATAGAGGCTTCAGATCAGATTTTGATATGGGCAAAGTACTTGCAATACAAAAGAGAGAGCAAAGGGTTCTGTGATGAAGGAATACTAACTTCCCAGAAATAGATTGGTGAACAAATAACAGAAAAAGCCCAGTCCATTCCTGTGTGTGATTTTTTTCTTCACTAAATAGCAGTGGAATCAAGACCATAAATCATACCATAAATAGTAGTAACCCTGCCCCATGTTAAAGCCCCCCATCTTCCTCCTCCTCCTCCTTCCCCCTCGCCTCCCCACCAGTGGAAGCAGCAGCCGGGAAGCAGGGAACTCCTCACTCCCCAGCTGCCACTTCCATGGGGACCGGGTCCTAGCTGCACACTGGCCTTTTAAAGGTGCAGAGTGCTGTGAGCCCTGCATCAGGGAGAGCTCCCAAGTGCTGAGCTCACAGATCCCTAGTTCTTTAAAAAGCAGGCGTGTACCTATGACCCCAGGTGTAAATACTCAGATGCCTGTAAAAGTGCCCATGGAAGGTGCTTCTCATTCTGCAGCTGCACAAATGGCTTTAAACTGCCTTGCCCTGCAGCTTGCATGTAGGTTGCAAGGCAAGGCAGGAAATCTGATTATGTTGAGGGAGCTCTGCAGGTTCCCAAGGTGGGGCTCCCCAGTGCTACCGATAGGATTTATAATGAGCTGGGCTTCTAAATATAGTAAGGGTTAAAATGAGGTAATTGTTTTGGGTGCTTTCAGAGTTCTTCCAGAATAATAATTTTCTTTCCATTTCTAATGCTGTAGAAAACATCTGTGATAGACAGTTATAATAAAAGAACTTGTGCTCTTATTTTATTTTAAATTCTAGCTGATGCAGGCAGGATGATGCTGTGTACTGAAAAAAGTAAAAAGCTAATAGTAGCAATTCATTAAAAATAGTGCAAGTATTGGGAGGGTGTGAGGGTCAAAATACTCTTAAAAGGAAAATCTGTTCCTGCATCTCAGTTTTTTGCTCAAAGTATTGTAGTGTAAATTGCTTTTTGTAAATACAGGAATAACATTTAAATGAAGGATTCTGGCTTACGCAATTTTATTTCTGTGTATTAGTGGTTTTATTGAGGGAGTTAAAAATGTACACACATAGGCTTGCAGTTGGAGACTTGATACATTTCAGGTTCAAAATACTAAGAGGTTTGTGGATTTGCTCTCTTTTTTTTTCCTCTTGCTCATGGCAAGAAACTGGTTTTGGCTAACTTATATACATTTTCATCATTTAAATGTGAGCGTCAAAACAAGTTTTAATCCAGTTAAAATAAATTAGACATGGTTTAAGTACAAAGATTAGATTTAAATTAAATGAAAAGATTAAGACAGTTCAGCCAATAAAATTTCAGTATGCAGATATAATAGCCAGCTGTGGTGGATGACTGGAGAGACTGCCCAT